CAGGTAGGCAGATGTGTTTTTAATGAAATAGGATGTAGCTGTTTTGTTCAGCTTGAGTAAAATTTATCTTCAGTTAATAAGCTGTAACGCTGCTATAATACTTCTTATCTTAGAAGCACGAGTATCGAAATTGGAATGCTGATTTTGATTGGAATGTTGTTTTTATTGTTTAGTAATACTGTCAATTTTAAGTACCGTCTATATCCATATAGCACAGAAAGCAAGCGAACTGGCGCAGTCTTTATATAAAAAGTCATTTATTTTAATGGGAATAATTAGCTGAAAATAAATGTACTATGCACATGTGCCACCGTCCGTTCAGAGGGTTGACGGCATGCACACATGCGTGTAAACTTTGGGCATTATAAAATTTCCTCCTCAAAAGGTGTGATTTTCTTTTAATTTCCTGATGTCTTCCGTTCAGTACGGATCGGATCTTTCCTTCTTCTTTCTCCATCCTCGTCATTTGCCGTTCATAGTATAGACGGCGTGATGAATGATTTCTTAATGCTTCTTTCAGGGATTGATAGGGATGATGCGCACGCACGCATCCATGGCCACTGTAGCAGTTCGCTTTGTTGTGCGACTTCATACTTCATCCGTTACCTTTCTTTGCAACAGCTTGACCTAGGCTGGGTTACAAAAAAGTTCGAAAAACAAGCGAACCACCACAGATCAAAACTACATTGCATGGTATATCGACATATAATCAAGCCAATCTATAATACCGGATTTAATCGGCTTTAGCACACCGTTCCATTTCTTTTAAACGCCTATAGAAACCGCGGCTCCACGCTAGCATAACACGTTTAAATATATTTGATATTTTCAAAATATTCGACACGGAAGAAAAAACTTTTATTAAGAATGGGCATTGTAACTTAATATTATTATTCCTATCTGGAGAGCGTGCGCGAGCGGTAGTTCGGCAACCATCAACGCCAAGTAATTTATGGGAAACCTACGAAGTCTTGAAACTAGGTTCAGTCAGCCAGTTTCGATGACCGCTTATCCTTTCGATTCTCACAGGATGACGCGTTAAACAACATCGCACACCGACCCAGTCTCTTTCAGCGTTGAGCTTCAGTGGAAAGTAAACCGACTCTGGAGCAGTCCTTTAATACCATTGCCAGTGTTATTCTTGGCCGTCCCGAAAGGGTCGTCAGTCTGCCGGTTGAGCACATAATAGCACTTTCGCCTTTCTTTCTGAAAGCCTTCACAGCAGGTACCCAAACCGTTTTCTCAGTGACATATCAACCTGCAGAAGCAATGGCTTTACACCAAGTTCTTCTAAAATATCTGAACTGCGGATCATGTCGAGTCGCCGAGGCCAGCGATTCATCTCTGAAAGCAAGTTAAAGACGCTTGTTTCCAGGATGAAACTTTTTTCAGTCATGGTCCACGATTTCAGTCATGACCATAGGTGAGCGTCAGGATGAAGTTTTTCTTGAACACAGAGAATTTAGTTTTCAGACTCAACTCTCCTTTAGTCATAAAGTTCGGGCTAGTTTACACAGGACGCAGCTAACCATTCCAATTCGCCGATCAATCTCCTCTTCCCATTTTCCACTATCAGTAAATGCGACATCGAGGCCTATGAGATTCCCACCTCTGTTTATCTTTTTATCTCAGGAGAGCAAGGGGCCATAGAACGAGAAAGCAGAAGGCTTTTGAGTTACACATATGGGCATGCCGGCCACGTCGCATTCGCCTGCGAAATTTTCCCGAGAGCGCTAGAGATCCTTCTCAGAAGATGCTAACAAAACAGGGTCATCCGCCAACAGTTTTTTCGTCTCCACATATACGACGCTGATACACTCGTCATTCTGGCTGCGCTCAGTTATTCTGTTCATGTACAGCACAAACAGGGACAGAACGCAGCCTTGGCGGAGACCAGTGCCAACACTGAAAGGCATCGACTTAGCGTCATTTACTTTGACGCAACACCTGCTATCATTTGGTGAGTAGATTCTCGTAACAAGTTATCTTCGATCTAATATTTTTGTAGATACGTCCATAACTTGTTTCGCGGGATCCGGTCATTTAACTGTTTCGGGTCAACAATGCACTTGCAAACCAGATGAACGAACTTTCACGATTTTGTTCAATCGGGGATAAGGCTAAGATCTGATTGGCGATGCTTCGCCGTACCTAAAGTCACACTGCTCTTTTTTTTTAAATCTTGGAGTCATTTACTCGGCGGTATCTGCATTTTAGCACTTTTCCGTAGACTTCTTCTGGGAGCCTCAGTGTAATTCGCTGATCACTGGAGCACTCCCTATGGTCATTCTTCCTTAGCAGGATACTACAGTATCTTTTCTCCAGTCCGCTGGTTCCTCTTCAGTATCCATTGCAGCTTAATATACACGTGTTAGCCACGACATGCCCCATTCGCCTAGAGCTTCAAACAGTTCATGACATTTCATGATTCCAGCAACCTTGCAACTTTTCAGAATTGTACGGCTTCTTTGACTTCAGTTGCTGAAAGAGTAATATCCAGTGCCTGGTATT